GATAAATACATTAAGAAATCAAAAAGCAGGCTGTTTTAGTAAATCAAACCCAAAAATAAACAATGAAAAAAAAAATATATAAGAGTTGTCGGTCCATCGAGGCCGAGAAGCGAAGAAGCGGTGAAGCTCAGACGATGAGAGGCGTAGAAGTTCAGAAAGGTTAAGTGTTTATGCAAACATGTTGCTGTTATATTTAATCATTCTGTTTGGGTTTTTTACAGCTGCACGTTTTTATCACTGAGGCACATCTGAGGCACGCATGCAAACAAAAAACTGGTTCCTGTTTTTCAGGGTTTGGCCATCGAGACGTGTGGAGGAGATCTGTACGAGGACCTGTCTGCGTACGCTCAGCCTGAAGGAGCCGAGGCCCCGTGGGAGTAACTCTGACCTTTGACCCCTGACATCTTCAGAAGGGCAGGATGGAAACTGGAAACATTAACCCCCTCAGACCTAAAGATCCATTTCTGTTTATTTCTATATAAATATCTCAAAGAACTAAGACATTTTATCTGTGCTAAATCATTTAAAATATGCTTTTTTAGCTTCTATTTGTCATTTCATGTTCTAATTACTTGTGTGTGTGAAATATTTCTACAATTTTAAAGCTGTCAGCTGAAATTTCAGCTGATTTTCGTGGTGCTTTGAGAAGTTCTTGTACAAAAAACTGTTTTAAACATTTGATTTTTTTTGTTGCCTCAGCAAAGAGCTCTCATGAATAAAAATGTATGTATTTTGTTGGAATAACAATTAACTGGTTTTGACTTTATGTGGAAAATCCTTTCACATTTAATTATAAAGAGTTTCTCTTGTGATCCCTGCTTAGATGAAATCAAAAGTCAGTTAAAACTGTTGGAACAAAAGCTGAAATTAGCATAGCTGAAAGTCAATTATTATTTTTTTAGGGCCTGAGAGTAGGGAATTTTATAAAATGCAATTCTTTGATTTGAAATTCTCTAAATTAAGGTGAAGTGAAGAYTCTATTTTTTATTTTTAATCATTCTTATTTGACATTTTTGAATATAATCAAATGCAACATGAATCTAAAGGAAGTCAAATTGTGTCAGCGAAATTACAAATTCTGTTAAAGTTTGAGTTAGTGTGTCCTCTGCTGGTCAAAACTGGTATTGAGACAATCTTGATTGAASGTCTTCTGGTCCGAATTTAATATTTTCATTGGAGAGATAACCAACAAAAAACTGAGTCATGTTGATAAAAGGGAATTCTGGTAAATCTGGAATTATCGAGAGTTTAAAACCATTAARATAAATAGAAAATAGGCTACATTCTTGAAACAATAAAAGAGAAAGAAAACACAAATATACAAAAAATGTAAATATAAGAATAAAAACTAAACAAGTTTAAAATGATTTACTGTTCTGTATGTGCTTAAGATTGTAATAAACAAATAAACAACATTTTGTTTATGTATCAGGAATAAAAACATCGAAAACATCTGCAGGTATAATTGTGATTTTTATTATTTTATTCAATTCATGTAACAGAAATATTGATTTAATC